ACCCCCATGAAAAATGCTATGGAGATGACCAAAGGTTGAGTTTCAGCAGTGGTGAATACACCCTTGAGGGATATGCATTTGCCTCCAACTTTGAAAGAAGCAATGGTAAGCCTCTTCTTCAAGAAGCTATGACTTGAACCATTCATTTTATGACAACTATCTCCCACTGTCTCTTGCTGAGAAGGTACTGTAGTTGGCTGGCAGCAAAGCAGAATCTTGAAGGAAACAAGATTATATGGACACTAATCAGTCAAATGAAGAAGAACTGACATGAAATGTTGCAAGTGCTGTTCACCTGCCCTCCATCCCCCAGTGCAGTGTCCTGGGCTCAATTGTAAGTTGAGGACTAACTGTAATTTAACAGGACAGCCACCCTCAACAATATTGGAGCTGAAAAGCACTGGAAAGCAGAGACAGACCGACTGATATGCTGTCTCATTTTAACATTTCTCTGGAATTCAATATTTATGATGCATTAAAACAGCAGATTTAATCCTTGACCACTGATGCTCATGGTGATGTCCATGTCACCTTCCTAACCAAACTAACGGGTAGATTTGTGAATGAAGGCCTAAAGTGCTGTTCCATTTGTCTCATTATTTTAACGTAAGAGAAAGAACTCTTTCTGTCACAACAGGCCAAGGCCGGTCAGCGTCCAATCTCAATGACAACCAGGTTCTTTTGGGAAGTTCAAAAGCAGGTCACGGAAAGCTATGAACTGAGTCATTCTTCATGAACCTGTTTCACTGTCTACTGAAAGCTTATCATAACACCATTCAGGTTTCTGCAAAATTCAGATAATTTTCTCTGTTCACCCCCACTCCCTCAAAGATCATGATAGTTTTGGCAACTATGTTAGACACTGCGGCACAAAGATAGCAGGTCCCTTCACAGCAACTGGTTCCTGTTATTCGATTTAAATAACATTGTCTTGATGAATCCAGCAAATCTGCCATTCCGTTTTCAGAAGCAGCCAGTTCTGATCATAAAAAAAGAGGTATACAGCTGATGGACATTCCCTGTCATGTTGCCTGTATTTATTGTTCTTTAAATTCTTCCAATACCATAAGCACAGATGGGCAACTCAATGTCTGCAGGTGTCCATCTTTAGCTGCTTTTGAATTTCAGAAATGCAGCTGTCAGTAGTAGGGCAGGTTGCTGTTTCCGATGGAGTTAAAAAATAAATCAGCAATACTGCATACTGTGATGGGGATCGTACTGCTTATGAAGAAAAAATTCCAAAGGTTTAAATCTCACATGGAATTAGAGGGAGTCCTCAACTTACAACTACAATTGGGGTCGAATTTCCATTGTTTAAGCAAAGCGGTTAAGTGTTTGCCCGATTTAAGATGTTTTTTGCTACAGATGTTAAGCAAATCACTGCCGTTATTAAGTGAATCTCACATGGCCATTAAGCCAATCCTGCTTCCTCCATTCACTTAATTATTGTAATCCAGCTGTCACAAATAGCAATCACATGACTTTGGGATGCTGCAGCCATCATAAATGCATGCTGGTTTCCAAGTGCCCAAATTTTGATCAAGTGATCATGTTGCAATGGTCATAAGTGCGGGGACCAGTCATAAGCATTTTTCAGTGCTGCAACTTTGAACTATTACTAAACGAATTGTTGTAAGTTGAGGACTATCTCTTTTGTGTGAGTGGGGTGCCAGGAAGAAAGTGGGGAAAAGAGTGGTCTTATCATGTTTACAATAGGATTTTAGTTTATGATCTATCTGTAGCACTTGCCTGAATCTGAAAAAACTAAGCCTCCTTAATACTTGGGCACTATTAGATCACTATAATATCTCATGTAGTCACTAGAGCAGGGGTGTCAAACTTGCGTTGTCATAGCATCATGTGACGTATCACAACTTTTTTTCTTCTTTGCTAAACCAGGTGTGGGCATGGCTAGCACATGACGCATTCGGCCTACGGGTTGCGAGTTTGTCAGCCCTGCACTAGACACTGATCTTGACTTGACGAAGTCTTGGGCTTAGTATTTATTCTGTTCAAAATCCATTTACTCAAAATCCACTTGGATCGCCTTTAATTTGACACAGAAATAGAACATGAATATTTGGACAACTTCAACAAGAAATAAAATATTTGGACAACTTCAACAAGAAATGAAATGAACATGAAAAAGATGAGTCACAGCTCACAAGTTTCTTTTCTTTTTTAGATACACAGAATTTGAACTGAAAAGGGTTCAATAGTTCAATCATCACTTCCTGAGTCTGGTGATGTTCAGACCGATTAGAGACAAAGTCTCATAGTTCCAAATGTTTGGGAATGATGGGTGATGTTATTTAGAGAATCATAAGACCAGGGAAGTCCTGACCTAAAAACTTTCCCTGATCTACAGTGAAACATGTGCTTAAAAATATGCCTATTTTTTGTTTGGGAAAAACTTCTAATGAAGATGTTTCCGTAATTTTTCTAGATCAGTGTTTTTCTACCTTGGGAAGCTGAAGATGTGTGGACTTCATCTCCCTTTCTGGCTGGGGAATTCTGGGACAGTTCATTCCACTGTAAAATGGGTCTTATTTATTTATTTATTGGTTCGATTTATATGCCGCCCTTCTCCGGAGACTCAGGGCGGCTTACAATGCGTTAAGCAATAGCCTTCATACTTTTGTATATACCTGCTTAGTAGGGCTTTCGGGGACCCCCTAGCGGTGTTCTTTTTTATACAGTCAGCTTATTGCCCCCACAAACCGGGTCCTCATTTTACCTACCTCGAAAGGATGGAAGGCTGAGTCAACCTTGAGCCTAGTGAGATTTGAACTTGCAGTAATTGCAGGCAGCTATTGTTACTTAACAGTACTTTAGTCTGTTGCGCCACCAAGGCTCTTCTTGTTCTTGAGCTGTTTTTGTTTCAGATTACATTAAATTATTTTCTGTTGTTTATGCTGAAATTTCAGCAAATAAGTCTTTCCCTCCCCGAATTCTGGGAAACAACTATTTCCATCTTCATCCATCTTACCTCTACAAATGTTTCATTCTTCACAGATCCTAATACATTTTGATGGTTTATTACCCAAATGGTCTGTCTCAGAAAATGATAAATGACACATTTATAACTTACTTTCTAAACGAAATTTCTATTTTTTGCTTAGTTCCTCTTGGCTTGCCAGTTAGCTATGTATACAAGCCACCACCCTCAAACCAGAGACAATACAGACTGTATTAAATCCAACTGATAATGAAAAGTGGCAATGTGATTATTTTGCTTTTCTTCCAAAACATAATTCTGTTTCATTTATGCTACATTAGGCCCTGGAGTTACGAATAGCATACATGGCATTATGCCTTTATAGGGTTGCATTTTACAAACTTTGTCTTTTCCCTACTGAAATCCTATTAATTTTCTTGGAAGATAATTTTATCCCGTGAGATTCCAAGAGTTCTCCAGTCTCTGAACACAATCCTGAAACAGCAGTCTTCCATTAAAAAGCGTTCAGTATAGAGGCAAAAGATTGTGGAACAAGGATACTGGAAGAATGCAACAATTCAGATTTACTCTCCCCAAAATGTTTCAGAGTGTGTGAGAGTGCAAATACAGCATTTGTCTCCTATATTTTAAAAGAACTGGATCTTTCCTCACAATTGCATGAAGGTCTTGCAAAATTATTGTATAATCCAGCAGAAAGTATGGCTGTTTTAAAGGGTTGCAGTCTAGAGATATATTTGTCTTCCTTTGCACCTCAAATCACCTTCTGGAGATCAAATGTAAAGTGCAAGCCTAAAGAAGCCCACAGATAATAAGAAACTGAACTTAATTTACTGATTAAATTTATCTGCCATCCATCCCACTGCTGAAGCAACTCTTGATATACTGCCATTATTTCCTAATGGCTGTGTTCTCATATGTGCATATCTGGTTAACCTAATTAACCTAATTTGTGGGTTCACCTAATGCATTCAATCCTAAACTAATCAGATACTACCACATGCTACCTTCCATTAAACACGCACCCACCCACCCCAAAAAAACCTCTAATCAAGGTTGAAGCTAAAAAAATCTAGCTAAATTCCTCTCTGACTGGTGAAATATGTGGTCAAAAGCAGTCAATATATGTGCTACCTGATGTAGCCCTTTCCTTTTAAAAAAGAGAATTGTTGGACGATATGCCAGGACAATTAGATATGATGCTTTTCTCTTGCCAAACAATAACCTTAAGTTGAAATGTAATGTAGCTAAAATTCTGTATTGCAGTTCTTAGACAAACTACTACAGAATTACATCTGAGCAATGAGCAATGAATAGAATAAATATTATGCCCAGAGTGATTTATGTTACATGCTGCTTCGTTAGAATTTTACATATGCTTTTAACATCTGATTTTATTATGCTAAATTATTGTAATGTAATTTGGTTGCATTTGTGAATAAGCTCCCAGCATACAAATAATCGTGCTAGTTTGGAATCTTATGATCTGGTCTATGCATTTGCAGGCCAGAATAAATTTCCTCCTGTTTCTTCAAACAGATTCAAAAGCATTTTGCAGCATTTTCTTCTTTCTCGTGTCCAGGAAAAAAAAAGAAAAGAACAAAAGTATTTTTAAAAAAAGAAGAAAAAAAATGCAGGTAGTCCTCAACTTATGACCACAATTGGGACTAGTTGAGCACGGCAGTTATTAAGTAATCATGCCAAATTTTACCTATTTTGCTTTTTTTGCCACGGTTAAGTGAATCACTACAGTCATTAAATGAATCATATCACAAAGCGAATCTTACTTCTCCAATTTACTTTGCTTGTCGGAAGCTGACTAGGAAGGTGGCAAATGGCGATCACGTGACCCCAGGATGCTGCAACCATTGTAAATACATGTCAGTTGTCAAACACCCAAATTTTGATCACATGACCATGAGGATACTGTGATGGTTGTAAATGCAAGGTCACTTTTTCAGTATCCTTCAAACGGTTACTAAATGAACGGTCATAAGTCGAGGACACCCTGTAACGTGGAGGAAGCATACTTCAAAGGTCTTACCTTTTTCTTACTGCAATAGATCTGCCATTTCTTTTCTGCTGGTAGAGCAAACATGGCTTCTCTATGCTTATCCGTAAGGTCAAGTTCATCCTAGCAAGAAAAAAAGAGTGGGGTAGGGATGGGGAGAGAGGTAAATGTTTATTATCAAAAAATAAACTTTGATATTCATTGGCATTTTAGCTAAAGGGGAGGGGCCCCTCCCTTCTCCTTAGACAGGTTTAATTTTTTCCCCTTAGCTCAATAATTATTCATATCATGTTGGCCTTTCTACGGTGACTGATTTGAGTCTAGATTATAATGAGCTTCCTGTGAAACATCCTCCTGTAACCTGATCCTGGATCTTAGATTGGCGATTAGTCATATGTCAAAATCAACCTCATATTTAAGCCTCATGTGAAACATTGGCCTTTTTAAAGGTGTTAATTTTCATTTAATTTTGGTGGCATTTAAGGATGCAACTGATAGCTTGGCATCCATAGTTTTCTTGTGGCTGAAACCAACTAGAGCTTCCTACTCTTCTATTTATTTACTAATGACTCTAAGTTTACACCATGTTGGAAAGGATGTAACTGAGCTAATGTTCTTGGTCACATTTCCAGTCAAAGACTTCACTGCATTTATAAACCAAAATATTTCAGCAGCTTTGTGGCAGGAGGTGCCTACAAACTTTTGGCTTAGGAGAGTGTTACTATTCCCTGAATTAACGTGCAGTATCATCACAAGCCAGAATTCTGAAGAATTTTAGCTTAGTATGAATGAGTTAATATGCCTATGCATGCTCTTTGGTTGTTGCAAATGGATGGAAGATTATTAAAGAGAGATCCAACCTACAATTAAGGAGAAATTTTCTGGCAGTAACAACAATTAATCAGTGGAACAGCTGGCATGCAGAAGTTGTGGGTTCTCTATCATTGGAAGTTTTCCAGAAGAGACGACCATTTTCCAGAATGGTATAGGTTTCCTGCTTGAACAGGGGGTTGGACTCAGTGGTGGGTTTCAAAATTTTTTACTACTGGTTCTATGGGTGTGATTTGGTGGGCGTGGCATGGCTTGGTGGGCATGGCAGGGGAAGGATACTGTAAAATCTCCATTCCCTCCCCAATCCAGGGGAAGGTTACTGCAAAATCCCCATTTTCAGGGGACTTGGGAGGCAGAGAATAGATGGGGGCGTGGCCAGTCAGAATTTTTACTACTGGTTCTCCGAACTACTCAAAATTTCAGCTACCAGTTCTACAGAACTGGTCAGAACCTGCTGAAACCCACCTCTGGTTGGACTAGAAAAGGGGTCTCCAACCTCCAGACCGCGGCCCACTACCAGGCTACAGAAGTGTACGAGCAGTGTGTGTGCACTCCATGTGCAAATGAAGCTGCATGAGAGCGAGCACTTGTCCACCACACTCCTGGAACCATCTCTTCTACCCCTCCACCCCGACCAGTCTGCAAAGCCGAAAAGATTGGGAAACTGTGGACTAGAAGACCACCAAGGTCCCTTCCAATTTTGTTAAATCATGGAAGTCCTGACTGTGGTTTGCTTAGTGTTGCAAAGAAATCAGAAGGTGGGGTCTCTCCTAATAAACCAGAGTCATAAGCCAAGAATATAACCCTTATGTTGAAAACAAGAACAAGCTAGAGTTCTTCCATTCAGACACAATACTAAAAGAAAGCATAGGTATGTGTCGAGGGAAAAGCAAATGGTCAAGCAGTTGCTATTAGCAGGCTTGCTTTTCCATGAGTCAATATACTTGACAACTCTAATTTATAGTCCTATGCACATTTATTTTATATCTCTAGGAACCATTTTGGTGTAATAAAAAGAATATAATAACTCTTGGCATCATAAAATTATATAACTCTAGGCATCATAAAATTAATAATAGATGGACATGCATAATTATCTTAAAGTCTAAAAGCCTGATGAAACAAGTTGGTTTTAAGGTCTACCTAAATTAGGAGATGGTGGAATCCAAACATATCTTCTGGGGAAACATGTTCCACAATGTGGGGGCTACCACTGAAAAGGCCAAACTCCTAGTTTAAATCCCCTTCAGTATAAGCACTGAAAAGTATAGGTTGCTAGTTACTTGCACTGTGTTCATCAGGGTACTTAGATATAATAACAAAGATTCATTTGGGCTTTGAGAAACCACTACTGTTAAGAGTCTTTTCAGATAAAGCAGAGGTCTCAAAACTCTTTAAGCTCATTAACCCTTTCATGACGTTTTAGACTGTTCATTGAACCCCAATCATTTATTACATGTATATGAGAATAATTTAATAAATACTACTTTAACAGTATCTCAAATAACAACCATGACCTCTTGGACAGATCTGTCGACTTTTGGGGGACAATATTGACCACATTGGTGAACCCTGACATAAAGCAGTCCCTCTATGAAGGGCACAAGGAAAAGACATTGCTTTTTAAAAAAATTTTTAAAGCACATGAAAATTGTGTTTTTGGCACAGATCAGAAATGTCAAACAAGGGAGCAATGTCCAGTGGTGAAATCCATTTTTTTTTTACTACTGGTTCTGGTAGGCATGGCTTGGTGGGTGTGGCAGGGGAAGGATACTGCAAAATCTCCATTCCCTCCCCACTCCTGGGGGAAGGATGTTGCAAAATCTCCATTTCCACCCCACTCTGGGGCCAGCCAGAGGTGGTATTTGCCGGTTCTCTGAACTACTCAAAATTTCCGCTACCGGTTCTCCAGAACCTGTCAGAACCTGCTGGATTTCACCCCTGGAACAATCTAATTTTAACCCATCACTATATGTAATAATTATGTTGACCATGCAAGATGTTGCATACCGGCAATTCTAACATCCAAAATTAAGCTTCCTGGACTGATGCACCGGTTTTGATATAGTAGATAAGATGCATAGAACAGTGTTTCTCAACCCTGACAATTTTGAGATGTACAGTATAGACTTCAACTATCAGGAATTCCAGGACTTGAAGTCCACACATCTCAAAGTTGCCAAGACTGAGAAACACTGGCATAGAGGGTAGAAAATTGTCACTGGCAGGAATTTCAAGCTGGTGACAAAAACACCTGGTGGCCATATGGACTGCCTGCAAGGAAAACAGGCAATGTGTTTTTGTAAAGAAAGCATACAGTAATGTAGCTTTCTATTTATTTATCCTCATGTTTGAAATTCTGTGGCTAAATCCCTAAAGCAATCAGCACACAAACTCCATACATGCAGCTTCAATTAACAATCATGAAACAGACTAATTAGTGAGCAGAAGATGCCAATTGGCAACTAGCTTCGTAGGCGATTTGCTATTTGTTCTTTGGGTATGATTGGAGATTGGGTAAAAGAAAGAAATGACAAACACGCATACACAACTGGCTGATCTGTTGTGTGAGTGAGCTCAGAAGTAAATAAAATACCTTCTTAATTATTCTAGCAAGAATTTAACATTTCTAAATTAGTCTTGCAGTAGGAATCAATTATTTCAGAAGAGGCTTTTTCATCCTACGCAAATAATTTCAGTCCTTTGCAGTCCTGGAGAAATTGTGATTACCATTTTGAAGAATAAAGCAAAAAACGAATATCCCAGATTGGTGGCTGCGTTCACTCTACACATAATTGACATACCTTTTCCTACATATACAGATTGTTAATACTCCTGTTTGCCAATTTTTCCATTATGAGGAACTGGTATGTTTTAAATATGGGCTATTAGATCTTCCTGCCATACTTTTAGCCCCAGAAGTCAGGAAATTATTAACTTTCAAGACTCAGGAAATTCACTTCCACATTTAGTTTTTCAGCTTACACTGGAACAAGCTCAAGAGGTTTTAGGCATTCGTTCTAGAATTCCTTGGCTGCCTAACCTTCTTACAAAGCTGTCCAGAATTAGGAGGAAAAACTGAATTTCTGCAGAACAGCATAAAAATAAAGAAAAGTAAAATAAATTAGATGGAAGTATAAGAGGATTTGATTCTTTTTTTTTAATGCAATCTACAGGATCATCCGAGAAGCCAACAAAATTTCCTGGCTTTGATTCTAGAAGGGAAGAAGATGAACTAACATAGCAACAAGGCAACCATAAAACAAACTATAGCATAGAAAAGGGGATGAATATTTCCACAAATCTTACGATTTTTGATCCAACCTTGCATTATATGGTCATAACTTAAATGTGAAAAACACCTTATTTCAGCAACATGGTTATTGAGCAGCACTGAGTAACTTGTTTTCTTATGGAAGAATAGGATTACTTTTCCACTTAGTGATACCAATATTATTTTTATTCTGTAATTTGGAATATAGAAATAAAAAAATAGAAGGGATGAGAGAAGGAAACATTTTTTAATTGAATTAGTCTGAATTACTTTGGGCGACTGGGTGTCCTGCTTCTTATTTTCCAAAATAATATTCTCAAGTGAATGCATATTCATTACAATAAAATATAAAATTATTTGCAACCTTTCTTAAAATGTAACCTTATTATGTTATATATGGACATGAAACATACTATTTAATGGAGAATAGTCGGTTTGACCATTCCTAGGTAACAAGCCTCTATTAGTAGAAGCACGCTTGCTCACAGTTCAAATGACTTCAATGTTAGAATTGAAGGAAAAGAGAAAGAGATGGTTTCACAAAAAGTAAACAACTATTTCAAACCAGTTTGGGGCTTTCTCTTTTACCCAAAACTTTTATGTTTTTTTTTTTAAATTGCCCATCCCTCTTCACTCTTGTATTTTTCCCAGACGTTAATTACTCTCTTTGAGGAGCCCAATGCTGCTGATGTAAGTAAAGCTGGCAGATGATCAAAATCAGTTTGTGAAGTGGCAGAAACCAACCACTTCTTAAAGACGCATTAAGAACCTCTCCCTTAGTGATGCTAACTGAATGACCACAGCACAGAAAACTTTGTTGTGGCAGGTCCTCACAAGATGAGGCAAAAATCAAAGATATAAAAAAGACTGTACATTAATTCCATGATATTGTTTCGATATCATCTTTCCACATCAATAAGCATTGTTCAAACCCAGCATACACATGATTGGTTGCTTTTAAAAAACAGCAACAAAATCAACCCCGAATGGCTTTTACATGACCAAAACTGGAGCTAGG